TAATTAGTTAGTTGCTAACCTGTCGCTTGCAAATCCTTTATTTGTTACGGGGTTAAGCAGCAGGGAGAAGGTTGAGCGAGGCTGTTGCTGTTTTACAAAGATTTTGAAAGCAGTAACTTTACGTGACCGTCCTCCTATAGAGGATCCATTGGTGTAAGGAGTGTCAATGGTTGAAACTTGTTTCAAAATCCAATGATTACTACATAATAAATCAAGAATCAAGTCAACTCATAACGCCACATGTTATCCTGCTCACAAATAAGCCTTGACTGAGCCTATCTTTGAGGCTAACTGGGATATGCAGGCTTGTCGACAGGAAGCAAATGAACAGTGCCCCTGATCTCCGTGACTCTCTGAGTGGCCTTGGCAGAGTCTGTATTTGAGACTAATTGGGATATGCAGGCTTGTCGACAGGAAGCAAATGAACAGTGTCCCTGATCACCGTGACTCTAAGCGGCCTTGGCAGAGCCTGTTTTTGCGGCTAGGTGGGATATGCAGGCTTGTCGAGAGGAAGCAAGTGAACAGTGCCCCTGATCTCCATGACTCTGAGCGGCCTTGGCAGAGCCTGTTTTTGCGGCTAGGTGGGATATGCAGGCTTGTCGACAGGAAGCAAATGAAAGTGCCCCTGATCTCCGTGACTCAGAGCAGCCTTGGCAGAGTCTGTATTTGAGGCTTACTGGATATTCCGGCTTGTCGACAGGAAGCAAATGAACAGTGCCCTGATCTCCGTGACTCTGAGCGGCCTTGGCAGAGTCTGTATTTTGAGGCTAGGTGGGATACTCAGGCTTGTCGACAGGAAGCAAATGAAAGTGCCCCTGATCTCCGTGACTCAGAGCAGCCTTGGCAGAGTCTGTATTTGAGGCTTACTGGATATTCCGGCTTGTCGACAGGAAGCAAATGAACAGTGCCCCTGATCTCCGTGACTCTGAGCGGCTTTGGTAACCTTTAATCTGGCGCAAGGTACCGAGACTGACAGCTCGCTGCCCCGCGCTACCTACCCAGCCACGCACGTCAAGCCGCGTGTCGGGACCGTGTTAAGAGCACTCAGACGTCAAGTAACTACTTTTAAACACAAGGACTAGGAGCAAACAATACATTTTCTTTTTATACACAAGTTTTTGGCATATAAAATGTACATGTACAAAAGGGCGTACAAACTAAGGGCGTTCTTGTGATAGTCTTGCAGGTTTCAGCTGCATTGTTATGGAAGAGGCTGTCTTAGGCTGTCACAACCATATTGAAAATTATACGCCATCAAAATCGTACGAGAGAGCGTCCTAGGAGAGCGCCGTAACAGGTACGAAACGCGCAATGCGCCCCCAAATGTATTACAAGCACACTTTGCAGCGTTAGAGTCACTAAGATAAGAAACATCTTGCTTCTGAATAATGATTGTTGGACCAGACATTACGTAACCTCAGATAAAACGATGTAAAACGATATTCATCATTCCACCTCTAGTGCTTCTCACATCAGCTTCAGGTGACTGTCGAGTCTTGTTTTATGGCGACCTTTCGTATACCTTTAGCGAATTTTTACGTAACATGGTTAAGTGGGAGACGCATTCCATCGTGCAGGAAAGCTTTAAAAGCATCCCCGTTGAGATGCTAAATCACTCAGGTATGAAACATTGACTTTGAAACGGAAGGTTTATAATACTCTGATGATGGTGTACCGACAGGCAAAATTCTCCATTTGAGGTTACTCGTTTTACTTGGGAGAGTGTACACAGGGATTGATGATGTAATAGAGCGTTTTGAGAGCAATGACTGGCACTGAGCGCCATGTTGCGGTCCTTGATTTGGGATGTAACGTACCGTAACAGTGGTTTTGTCTTATTGTCTCGGTCCATAAGCTTTCATGGAGTCTGTCATTCCTTCCTTTTAGCTTTACAGTCTTCATAGGGCTTAGATATGATACGGTCAGAAGATGTCTAGGTGTCCGAAAACACTTGACCCTCGATTCACTGCAATAGTAAATAGCTGCAAACCCCGCCATGTTGGTGTCCCTATGATGTCAGGTGAACGTTCTTTATAGTACATCATTGGATTGTAAAACGTGTTGGCAGTTATTCCTAATTGACTTATTAATTGATTGCTGATTCTCTGGGATACCTACATTGATAATTACAGAACTTATCCTTTTGCCATCATATTTTAAATTTAAGCTATTCCTGTTTGTACCTTTATGTATCAGTGTAAGTAAACGATCACTAGAAGACTATCCCACATTTGCAATTTGATCACGAAGTCGAAGTTGTTTTTCCAGACAGAAAAGTAAACAATCAAAATTAAGACAAGGTGTTCTCCGGGAGTTCTTGCAGAGCGTAAAGCGTTCAAACCTTTGTCTGCTCTTCTCATGGTCTATTACTCAACGGTTATGCTAATAGAACGTATGTAATAAGTATCCAAAGTAACTACTTAAACTATAGAACTATTTAAACATATTAAAAATAAAACAGAACTATTTAAACATATTATGACATCCTAGCACTACGATGTAAATGAAAAACTGTAAATTTGTTCATACGTGTTTCAAAAAGAGAGAAGAGATCATGTAGATATAGATGCAGCACAGCATTATAACACTTGTTTCTTCTATACTTGTACCTCAGTTATCTAACTCAGTGCATTTGGCCCCGTGTAGGGCGTGCGTATGCAATAAAATTCATTGTCATTGTCATTGCTAATAGAATTTTCTCGCAGTTTTCCAGCAGCAGAAAAGATACCCACATTCTGAATTGTTCCCCTGAGTTATCCATTGCCTTTGATACATAACAATCATTATGTCCGACGTATGTCATAATTTTGCTGTTTTGCTGTTATATATACTGTGTAAACGATCACTAGAAGACTACCTCACATTTGCAATTTGATCACCAAACTTTGTCTGCTCTTCTCACGGTCTATTAATCAACGGTTATGCTGATTGAATTTTGCTGCAGTTTTCCAGCAGCAGAAAAGATACCCCCTGTTCTGAATTGTTCCCCTGAGTTATTCATTGCCTTTGATACACAACAATCATTATGTCCGACTCTCTTTGATAGTGAAATTGATAATTAGATTAAAAGTACTTGTCAATGTTACAGCATCATAATTCTACTGTTTTGCTGTTACATATATGAGTGTAATACTATGTAAACGATCACTAGAAGACTACCCACATTCTGAATTGTTCCCCAGAGTTATTCATTGGCTTTGATACACAACAATCACACGGGCGTCGTTAAACCCACATTTATGATGAACTCCACCTCGCCTTATCTCCTCCATGTACGGACTCACGCAGGGAATAACAAATGATCATGTGTGGGGGGTTTAACCCGCGATAATCGCGACATATCTCTTTATATGCGCGCCGCAACTGCCTGTAAATGCGGTGCCAAGAACCGTGTACATGATAGATAGCATCGGTGTGAGGGTGCGGAATACAAGAAAGGATAATGTGGAATGGTCTACTTTACATCACTTGTGATTGTGATTTCCAATTTGGTTTCCAACTTAGTTTTAACTTTACTTTATATGCAACGTTGCTTTGCTATTTTGCTAGTTCATTTTGTTTTATGGTATTTGTGATATTTTTCATAATTGTTGCTTACATAGATCATGTATCATATGCGTAATTTTACTGTCTTTCGCCGTATAAGTCAGAAGAAAAAGGCTTATCTTTTTGTAATCAAGTATGCACATTTGTATAGTATAGAATTGGACAAATCGTATACAAACAGATGACACGAAAATGAAAGGAAATCATGTTTCTGGCATAATTTAACACAAAGACTGTAATCTTCGTCGATTTTGTTTATAAATCACAGAGCCCTTCGGAGATAAACGAATGAAACTTGTATCAAATTTGTTAAGCTTATTGAGAACGATATAATCATCCCAAATCCTCACCAATGTTTATATCTATGCATCGATCGAAAAAAGTGTCAAAACAAGTTGACTGTTGTACCGACAAAATATTCATCTTGCTTGCGAGTGACGATGTAATACTTACAGATAACAATCAGATGATACAGATAGTTTAAACTCTGCTGCTGAATGAAATACGGAGATTACGTCTAGACGTTTCGAGTGACATCCATCACTCTTCTTCTGTGTCACTAGAATGACCTGCCAGAACATGTCAACACTTATGCACAAGAAACTGAAGATAACAGTTGAACATGAACATGCATGACAAAGTCCCACACTCGTGAGTGTCACTAATGGGTGTCAGTCGAAACGTCCGGAAATATTCTGGAAATAATCTCCGCATTCTATCAGGCAGTGGGGTTTAGACTGCTTACGAGCATCGTTTACCCAGATGTCTAACCTTCATGATCGTGTCACCGTGTAATGCTCCAAGGACGGTCTCTGCTCTCAGAGATAAAGAAAGAGACGATTAGGAACCCCCCAGGGATGATTCGTGTTCGACAGAAGTACACGACATGTTACATTCTGCATTTCTCTGACGCAAATCGTGACATTGGTGTTGTTAAGGGGCTATACATTACACTGTCTTCACAGGTCTCCTCATATATATGTGTAGGGAAGACATCGAAGAGTATGATTTGGTCCAAAAATAATATGAATAACTTGCACATTATCCGCCAAAAAGCAGTTACTCAAGCAACTGGATGTGATTTTGCAAAATCTTTGGAAAATTTTCCCAAGTCAAATCCAGTTGCTTGAGTAACTGCTTTTTGGTGTATCTTATTACCTGGATGTCTAACCTTCACCGACGCTATATATTATCCTGTCTTCACGGGTCAGCTCATATATGTGTATGGAAGACATCGAAGAATGAATAATATGATCTGGTCCAAAAATAACATGAATAACTTGATACGAGGTTCAGTAGGTCAAAGATGGTCCAAAGATGATAACTGTGTCTCCCTCAGTCGGCTAAGTTTGAAAGAGTGCTTTTAAAGATGACAAAAGCTGACGAAAAAGTGATGATTTAGTTGAATTTATTTTTCACACGTGTCATTGCTTGTTAGTATATTCTTGCCCTCATGTGTGTGTCTTTCTGTACCCTGCCCAGGACAACCCTACCTTCGATGAAGGACCATGGACCTGAGGATGTTCCTAGGGGGTGGTCCGCGTGCTGCAACAGCCGCTTTCCTTCAGATGTTACTCACAGGGCTGTTCTTTCTAGCAGACTCACGCCCCAGCAGTCAGCAGACTCCAGTGGAAAGCGCGTTAAACTTAACGACCACCGTGGAAACGACTAAACAGGCGTTCTTTGCAACCTTCGTTCCGAGGCAGGTGCCGATCTCACAGACAGTCTACGACAAACACACGCTGCGTAGGTTCGTCCGTAGGTTCGTTCACAGCGAGTCCGAGCAGCAGCAGGACAGCTCTTGGAGCCTACTCATGGATGAAGTTGTCCCTGACAAGGAAGGACCGGTTCCCTGGGAGGAACTCACCGTCAACATGGAGAACTTCCTTCACGTCGTGAGCTGTCAAATGGATGTCGCGTGTAACCTCGGAACCCCCCACACCATGTGCCAGTGTGAACGGAATATGCAGATCGGGTCCAACTGCATCCTCCCCAAGGCCCGCATCACCCACAAGTCTTCCACAGACAGGGGTGTGGTGACGAGTTTTTGCGTGGGCGTGGCGCTGCCTCCTATGATGGACGGGCGAAGTAAGTACGACATGCAGACACGCTGCAAGTTCTGGGGACGAGACGACGTCCAGTACAAGGTCCACGTGACCAAGCGGCTGGTCACGTCCAGCCAATCGCCTTTCGAGAGGAAGGTCAAGTACACGGCTTGTTTGAAACCGGAGTAAGGCGCTGTTGATAATCATGGAGCGTTGTAGACTCTTTGAAAAGAATCACCGTACTCAATGGCTGGAAAAAAATACAACTGGGGGCAATTAAATGTTGACAATGTTGCGGTGTCCAAAGACTTGAAACCTTGGACCAATCTCTTTCGGAGTGGACGGTCTGTATCTGTATAGCCGGTATAACCGCCTTCCGGCGTAACACACCAGCTGCATAACACACCAGCAGACACCGGTCAAGTACACAGCCTGATGAAAGGTGGAACGGAAAGCTGGTTGTGGTCTGTACTCTTCTCACTTTACCTGCTGCAAAAGACACATGGACACTGAACGGTACAATGTCGACGCATCCGAAGACTCAGATATGAAAGTTTTACTGCCATAAAAACGTTAGGGAGTGTTGTGTACCCTTCGTAAACCTTCAAACACATTCTATGTCGAGATAGCAGAATGGGGGTCAGATAGGACAAGGTTCGTGCGTCCAAATATTTGTAAACATTGAACCGTTTGCGGAAGAAACTTTCTGTTTCGGCCGTAGAACGAGGTTGAATAGTTATGGGTATTTTTCGTAAATTCACCCCAACGGGATGTCAGCATCACTACTTAAATTGATCATATTGCAGGAGATAAAAATGTGTTAGAGGCATAGAACAGAGTTATTGGCATGTTGTGTGGTATTTCTCGAAATTTCGACATTAGAGCGGTCAAAACTGTCCCTTTACCCTCATAAAAGTCTTTGAGGTTGACAAAAAGGGCATCTACAACATTTAAATAACAAAGTTGTTGATAAACAAAATGTGTTCTCATTACTCAGTAAAGAAATAAAATACCCAAATTTTCGGTCGTCTGTACTATAGCCTTCTTCAAGTTTGAATGACCAGTCAATTATGTCACGTGACCTTATGCACACGTCACGTCAGCAATCGGTCAACGGGGCCCTCGTTTCCATTTAGCTTACAAAAACAGAAAAACATTCAAACATTACATAAATATAACCACTGACTGGTACGAGAAAAAGGACCACTTAGATATAAGTGTTTGTTTTATATTAATTTTGGATTTTTTAATTTATTTTACGAAGTACCTGGCGTTCTAATGATGCAAGGGAATAAGTAGGATTGGACTATGCGCAAGTTATACTTTATGTGAAAAAGAGACATTATACTGGGCATAAGCATAATGGTTGGATTTGTGATGTTTGATCTGTTTATATAATGATTGATTGTCCATTCTGTTATTGATGATTTCCCAATTGTTAATCCAATACAATATATGCAATTTGTTTTCTGTCATTGTTCTGTTATTGTGGTTGCTCAGATATGTGTTTCATTCATAACTCGAGAACGGCAAGATTTAGTACATTGTTCGATTCTTTTCATTTATTTCTGTAATAACATTGGAGAGTAGTGAAATATGTGCATAGCTATGTTTTACTCGGTATGCGTTACATTATATATATATAATTGTTTTTCAATTTATATCTGTAATAAAGAATATGGAGGAGTAGTCAAACATGTGCATAGCTATGTTTTCCTCGATTTGCGTTTCATAACTTGAAAACGGCATTAATGCCAATATTTAGTGCATGGTTACGTTATATGTAATTGTTTTTCAATTTATTTATGTAATAAAATAACATTAGGGACTATTCAAATCTGTGCACAGCTATGTTTTCCTCGATATGCGTTCATAACTTGAGAATGGCAATATTTAGTGCATTGTTCGATTCTTTTTCATTTATTTCTGTAATAAACAGCATTGGGGAGTTGTCAAAGACATGCATTTCATAACTTGAAAACGGCAATATTTGATGCATGGCTACATTTTAATTGTTTTTCAATTTATTTCTGTAATAAAAGAACACCGAGGAGTAGTCAAACATGTACACAGCTATGTTTTCCTTGATTTGCGTTTCATAACTTGAGAACGGCAATACTTAGTGCATTGTTCGATTCTTTTTCAATAATTTCTGTAATAAACAACATTGGGGAGTTGTCAAAGACATGCATTTCATAACTTGAAAACGGCAATATTTGATGCATGGTTACATTTTAATTGTTTTTCAATTTATTTCTGTAATAAAGAACATAGTAAAATATATGCATAGCTATGTTTTACACGGTTCTTCCCGTAAATGTCCGATTCATCATGATTATCGCCTGACTCGATCATCAAGACAAATCACTCCGACTTCTCATCTCTCTCCGTCGTCACCGCTTCACGCAGGAATTAATGTCGACTTGATTGGAAAAACCATATCGCGTTATTGAAACAAATGAGGCCGAGGATCCGACAATATGAAATCGGCGGAAGGTGATCAATCATAGGGAGTTAACGTGCATAAATACGGATGGGTGAGCTGAGTTTTTAGCAACCCAAGCCTGCACCAGTTGGTATGGTACAGCCTGTTTAACTTGTCATGACAAAATGTTAATAGTCGTAAACTAAACTTCAGGAATCGCCAGTGCAAAACAATTGTATAAACTAGAAACTACTTTAAGGTAAAATTTGCAAAGCAGATGCATAATGTTTGTCTTCACATAGGAATGGTCTAGCTCAACAAACTGCTCCTCTGTTTCTTCTTACTCAAACTCATTCACATATATGGTGACCAGCCCCTCCAACTCTATCCTACTACATAGTGTAATCCAACTTTGTAAAAAATCAAAATAAACAAATAAACAAACAAATAAACATAACGCACGCAATCTAAAAGATACACCAATGTTTGTAAACGTATCTAGAGTGATGATATAAACCCCATCGCACCATGACATCAAATCTAACCCTAAGATAGCTTTGCTAATCCTAGGTGGAAGATTAGCTCAAGCTCGCATCTTTCAGCCGTTTTCAGTAAGACTTCCACACGGAAGGGAGCTGAACTCGGCACGCCAGCGGCCGGAAATGGGGTGAACCTGAGCAAGACGAAGCAAAGTGTGTCACGCACCGCTAGTGCTAGGTAAAGCAACGACACTGGGAATCAACTACAATGTCGTTGAGGCAGTATCACGTATAATATGGAGCGATCTAAGAACTGTTCTCCAACTACAAAGTTTGGTCTCACCGGAATGAGCTTTCTGACCCAATCGCTCAAGACGAGACTTTCTTTCCGTGTGACGTCGGCAAAGTTTGTTAGAAGTCGATAACTTCCCCCGTCCCGGTTGAGATGACCTTCAGTCTTTGGTCACCCCCTCAATTCCTGACACTCTACTGTATTTAAATAACTACGGAAACACACACAATCAAACAGACAAACGCACCAAAAAACATAACCACCGTCCACGGAGGCAGAAAAGACAAACGGCGTGTATTCAAATAACTACGGACACACTAGCAAACACACAGAAAACATCGGAATAGAGCCGTTAAAAACACAGAAAACATCGGAATAGAGCCGTTAAAAACACAGAAAACATCGGAATAGAGCCGTTAAAAACACAGAAAACATCAGAATAGAGCCGTTAAAAACACAGAAAACATCGGAATAGAGCCGTTGAACTTTCAGTGCTGACGCAATTTCGACCGCTGATTCAGCACTGGAACACCAGTGCGGAGGGCGTTACTTTTGTATATTTGTGCCGTACACGCTCGGAGGCAGAAATGACAAACGAGGAGTATTCAAATAATTACGGAAACACTAGGAAACACACAGAAAACATAACCTCGACCGTACATGGGGGCAAAAATGACAAACTGCGAGCGTTCAGCAACTTCCTTTGCCGTTACGACCTAATCACGCCATCGTTCAGCGGCGTGGCAACTGAAACCCCGCGGAACAAAAGTACGGCCACGTAAAACAACTTATCCGGGAAATGCGATGTTGCATGGCCACATTTCCCGCTAATGTCCGCCCAGAAAGATGCTATCCGCCGACGAAATAAGCCCTTCTGGCAACAAGGGCGAGACGAGAATGCCCATTGACATTTGGAGGTGTCGTTATTGTAGCTCTTGTGACCTGTGTCGGACGCAGTTAGGCCGTGTAAGCTTCGTGTTATGTATAGGATCTACGCGCGCATTGATTTTGAATTGTCTTGTGGTAAAAAAATAGCCTGGCCTTTTTCAGCTATGGTCAACTACAAAAGACGCTAGCATTCCAATAACAATTTGCCCCAAATCAAAAAGTCAATACATTTGAGAGAGAATGATAGCAACTGACATATAGTCAATAGAATCCATAACTTAATATTTCTTTGTCCTAAATCCAGGAATAAAGGATTTATAAGTTGTCAATCTGTATCTTCTATGTCTAATTCTTATTAAAACGTTCTAGAAAAAGACAGGTCGAACGCAGGAAAAAATTGTTGTTTGTATTTTTTATATTATATCCTATGGTGAGCAATACAATACATAGAAAACAGTACAAATGTATTGATATTGATATTGATAAGTCCATTGACTCAATTCGTGAAATAAACAAATACAGACTATATCAGTATATGACAACATATGCTGCACTCAAGTTACATCGAACTTATTTCAGTGCCACCATCAAACAATAACAACAACAAGAGAGTTAAGTAGACTTAATGATACATAAACTAAATAAATGTATGCAATCATTACAGCAATTTGGGTTGAATATAAATCTTGCTTCTACGACTCAATTATTTCTTGCACATTTGCATTGGATTCATTTTTAAAGGCATCCAGGGCTTGGAAACCCGATTTTCCAAAGTCAATATTCTAGTCACTTATCAACAACACTGTCCCGATGTATATTGACCCTCATTGAGCAAAAATACAAACAATTCTGACGGAAAATGGTTACTGGAAGGGTCATGGGCTGATTTTAGGGCACCACCCATAAAATAACGGACTCATCTTGGGGCTTGTTTCTGCAGTTTGAAATACCCAAAGTCTAAATGCTGACTCAAATGTGCTAATGTGAATCAGTATGTGTCAATATCATAATGTTTGCTTTGACCAGAATGTTTCCAATTTTGCTGCTCTGAAATCGCACTGGATGCCTTCTCGCTTTCATAGACCGACCTTTCTTTATATACAGCCCTTATTAGATATTACGTCCCCAGAGGAAAGTATC